TTCTCTAAACATGATCATACTCTTTCTTATCTCTATAGATTGCACATGGAAGTTTTCTTCGCCTCAAATGACATTCCCTCTTCCCTGAGAACTCTTAGCCTTAAAAACCCAGCCCAAGAGCTGGGCCCGGTGGCTCATGCCTATTATCCTAGCACTCTAGGAGGCCAAGGTGGGTGGACTGCCTAAGCTCACAGGTTTGGGACTAGCCTGAGCAAGAGTGAGACTCCATCTCTAGATATAGCCAGGTGTTGTGGTGGGAGCCTATAGTCACAGCTACTTGGGAAGCTGAGACAAGAAAATCACTTGAGCCCAAGAGTTTGAGGTTGCTGTGAGCTATGACGCCATGGCACTCTACCAAGGGTGACAAAGTGAGACTCTGTCTCAGAAAAAACAATAACAACAACAACAAAAAAACCCAGTTCAGTCATCCTAAAATGAGCCATCTGAGGGTCATGTCCCCAGGCACAGAGTAGGTACTCCATGTTTTGTTAACTGAATAACAAATGAATGACTGAACAGGAGATCAAAAGTAGTGAGTCAGATTTTCAGACAAGTGTGATCCCCTGCCATCATCTGGAACATGACCACAAGGACAAAAGGGGAAGAAGTAAATTCATCACAAAAAGAAATTCAATCTATACATGTTCAAGTTTTATTACAAAGTATGATGGGCAGAAAATACGGTACTTCTTATACAGGAGGCTGAAACAGAATGAAAGAGTGAAAATTAAGCTTAATGTCCTTAGGAAACAAGAAATGAAGCCATAGAAATAACACTCCACTTTCAGGTGCCCTTGAAGTAGACTTCAATGGAGATTCCCCATCATCATTTCACAGCACAGTGTTAAAATTTTATTACAAGCCCTGTGTACAGTAAGTCCTGTGAAAATAATATTTATAAAAGAAAAATGGTTACAGTACAGTTCTGCAAAGGGCAGCTTCCTTTCCACCTGAACATGGGATGCCACAAAACCTACAGTATAGAGGGAAAGTTTAAATATATAACAGGAAAGTAAATTCGGACACGCTAGGCTAAAGGACACAGAAGTGGATCAGTCAGAGCTTAACATTTCAGAGAGCAAGAAATCTCCATTTTTTTCTACATAGAGGTTTATACAATCATGCTACAAATTCACACTCAGGGTTGGAGGGAGGGAAAGTCACTGGCAAAAGAGGTCATAAAATACACAGGAACCAAAGTAAGTGATTCATACTTGACTAAAGCAGTTCAAAGCTTCAGCTAAACAATTTTCATAACACACTGTATACCACAATCAACCCAAGGTGAGAACATTTCTTTTAAATAGTAGGTATGACAAGTTTAAAGTCACTGAGTTGTTCCAGAGTGGGTGCCTGTAAGTTTTCCAGCTGTTACACAGACTGTCAACATCTTTCTTCTTGAGTTCAAACTTTCTTTAGCTTATTTGTGACTGGCTGGGTATACCAGTCCAAGCCTCTTGGAAAGGCACCTGCATGTTTCCATATTTAAAAGATGACATCCAGAAAATAGCCTGAGAGGACCTGGCCCATCCCATGTGGCCCCACATTTGACTTTGACCATTAGCAGCAGTGACGACTGTGGAAAGAGAGGGTATTGGGGGTGAGGTGGGTAAGACTCTGCAACATGAGACACTCTCAGGAGTGGACCCAGCCAGGGCCTGGTCCAGGGTTCACAGTGACTTTGCTCTGCTCAGCTGAGCTCTCAAGAAAACCCAACCTGAAAACCAACCATGATCCTCCTTCCTTGTCCTGGGGTACAGAGAGTAAATGGAAAGGCTCCCACTTCAATGGTCTCCCCGCCCCAGACCAGGCCCATATTCTCAAAGTGGAAAAAGTGGAGAGACAACAGTCCTGGGACGCCTTCCCATGTTTGGTAAACCCTGCAGCTCTTACACGTCCTTACAGCCTAGGAATCCAAGACCCAGGTTGCAGGAGGGAGAAAGTTCTACAGTGGAAAGGAAAGAGGAAGAGAAAAGGAAAAGAAGAGTAAAAAGGAAGAGTAAAAAGTCTGTGTGACTGTTTACAACCTCTGCTTTGGTTCGGTACAAACCTACAGCCAAGAAGAACCTAGTCTAGAATGATTATTGACTCCCAACAGCTGCAGGCTTTTGCTTTGAGCTGTCATCTTGTCCCCACAGGGACCTAGCATCACAGATGCCCCAGAAATGGTCTAGAAAGGCTGATCCAGGCTAAGGGCTTGGTCTCACACCACAACCATACAACAGTCTAAATGCTTCCCCACCTCAGACCTTCATGCCCATATCTCTTCCTTGGACCTAAGAAAACACTTACCATTAATTTTCTCCTGCATCTTCAATCTCCTAAAATTTCAGATATAACTATCATCAAAACTTCAAAGAATTCTGAATTCTTCTGTTTCTTCCTGAATCTTAGCTAGTTCTTTTTTTTTTTTTTTTTTGCAGTTTCTGGCCGGGGCTGGGTTTGAACCTGCCACCTCCAGCATATGGGGCCAGCACCCTACTCCTTTGAGCCACAGGTACTGCCCCAATCTTAGCTAGTTCTCTGAGAACGGATCCAGGTGCTGGTAAGAAGTTCTCACCTCATTATCAAGGATTTGTCCTTTTCAAGTTCTAACCTTGCAGTCTAAGCTCCTTCCTGAAGAAGCTCCAACTCTCCTTCATGTAAAAACTCAAGTCTTTGAATGACTTGGAGTCTTGCTCCAGCTCTAGGGTGGTAGAGACCTGAGTCCTCATTTATTCAGCACCTCCACTCTTCCTCAGACCAAGAAAGCACAGGCAGCTTTGGCTCAGCTTGCCAAGAGCAAAAGGGCCACCATGAGCTGAGCTAGAACTCTTCCTGGTGAAGTACGAGCACCTGCTCCTCTCTCATTCAGGGAGGGCAGATCTAGGGCCTTTCACTCAGTCTCACTGGCTGTCAACTTGAGAGCCTCAAAAAAATAACAGAGACTTGCTTTTGAAGTGACAACAGATCTGTGCTTAAGCAAGGCTGGCTAAGGGGCTTTCTAAATCCCGAGACTACAAAACTCCACTCCTCAGCCATAGGGCATCTGGCCTATGGTGTATAGGGAGGGTGAGACAGCTGCATCTTCAAAAGATTAGCAAACACAAGCATGTGTGTGTTTGCTTAGGGAGGTGAGGCCTCTACTCTGGGTCACAGGTGGGGTGTCAGGAGGAGGACTGCACTGCAGGGCTTAAGGAAGGATGACGACAGGGCTGGAGTCCACAAAGCAAGGGATAAGACCTCAAAAATTGATGTCCAGAGTAAAGAGCTATTTTCTCCAAATAGATTCTTGTTATTATTAACTAATTTTTTTCAAGTTGTTTTTGAGTTCTTGTTGACAGATATCAGACCAGGTCTAAGTGCAGATCAGGGGAAAAAATCTTAACTCAGAATTCAGTGGAGGTAAGCTGTGCCCCAGGAGGACCACCTCTTCTAGCTCTCCTACCTCCATTTCAGACCCTTCCCCACAGGAAGGAAATGATGGCCTCCTTGAGCAAGCAGCCACCAACTCAGCCTTACTGCCCTTGAGAGAAAGACCCAGTAACCATAATCAAACACAATGAAAAGCACAGGAGGGTTCTGACCAAGAACTACTCATTTTGTATCTCTAAATAATGTAGTACAAATCTGGTGGCAAAGGACCAGAGTGCACCTCAAGTACCTGGCCAGCCAAAAAGCCCCCTAATCAGAACCACAAAGTAAAAAGAATACCCGGACTACAAAAGGAGTCTTTCTCTTTGGGAGCAGTCCCTGTGTGGTAAAGCAAACAGCTATGACTTTTGCCATACAATTATACCTGCTTCTGAAAAGGAAGAGTTTAAGGGCCCAGAAGAATGAAGTTAACTGCTTTATTTCTCAAGCAGGTGGGAGCCTAAATGGGCAAAACCATCAGCTGTAAGGCCTGCTAATCTCCTAATCACAGATGAGCAATGTAGAGGGGTCTTAAAAATCTTCAGGCACCAGGCAGAGCATGACCAACCTGGCCGACTCTCCCCCAGAGCGTGTCCCAAATTCATCTGACACTGGAATCACACTCAAGCCACCTCCGTGGAACTCATTCATGTAACGGAAAGATGCCTGTAGCCTGTAAATCCAATACTGCTCAGACCCTCAACTGGGGACAGGAGGGGTTGATAGGTATAGGTGGGATTCTTAACTGGTTGACCGTGGGGTCTATGATTCTTTTTTTTTTTTTCTTGCAGTTTTTGGCCAGGGCCGAGTTTGAACCCGCCACCTCTGGTATACGGGGCTGGCGCCCTACTCCTTTGAGCCACAGGCGCCGCCCATGGGGTCTATGATTCTTTTTAACTATCTAGTCACTTGATGACCTGTGGTTGCCACAGCCAGTTAGTTCACCTTTCATGACAGCTGAAAGTCCCCACACACTCTATAGGTGTTGTTCGGGGTCAGAAGCACAGACTGTGCGCCTATCAGAGAGAACCCTCACCTCAGAGCACCCAAAAGAGTGGTCAATGTATCACCAGGCAGAGTAAACTCAATCAACGGAAATACCAAAATTTAGCTCAGAGATCACTCTTGCCTATCATTTTAACATGAAATGGAACAGCCTGGAGCTTATGTTTGGAGGAAAAAAACAGACTCTAAAACTGTGTACTAAAAATATGCTCTAAGTTCAGCTTCCTGAAACTATTCCCCTCAAGTCAAACACCCCAATCAGCCTGCTTGTCTCAGCTCTACCATGTTCCCGGTGGGTACCAGTGGGGCTGGAGAGTGGTACTTCAGGGTGTAACAGAAGGCTTCCTGTGCCTGACTGGGAGCCCAGAATGCCCTTGAAAAGAGCCAGGGTAAGAAAAGGTGTGATGAGTCAGTGGACTGCAGAGCACCAAGGTGGTTTGGGACTCCCGGTCAGGTAGGTAACTACTCAGGCAGTGACTCAAGAAGGCAAACTGCTCATGGGGTCAGGGACCCAGTACCAGCTCTAGGCACTGAGAGAAGAGAGGAAGGTACAAAGAGGGAGAACTATAAAACAAAGGAAGAAGCCAGGAAGAGTAAAATTCTTTTCATAAAAAAATTAGCCTGATAAAAAATATACAAAGTTGAAATTTGTTAAAGACACTGATACTAAGAGAAGAGACGACTTCAGATTGCTGTTTGTTCCCACATAAGTGCTAACACAGACATGGACGTGGACAAGACATGGGCTGCTGCCTTGGGCAGCAAACAGACGGAGACATCTGGGGCAGATGAGTACAAACACAGCCAGTGCTTAGACTGCTCATTAACATGACAACTGACAAACAAATATACAGAAATTTTTAATTGAGGAACCAAAGGAGAAGAAGAAAGGAGAGAAAATCTTAAAACTCAGCCCTGGGCTGAGGAGGCGCCACATAGCACTGAGTCCGGCACAGAGAGCAGTGGGGTGACTGGCCAGGAACTCCTAAAGCAGCTTCTGGTAACAGTGGGTGCAAAGCAACAAAAGACATACTGGCCACTGGAAACATGTTTCTTCTTACTTTGGGGATGGGGCAGAGGTGGGAAGCACACAAACCCCTGCCTGATGGGCACGGAGCCACTGACATTACACTCTGAGTATCTCCAGGCAGTTGTTGTAGCAGATGGCAATCCAGTCAGGCTGAGTCGATGCCCACTGCACATTGTTGATCTCTCCTTCGGCTGTGTAGGCCAAGATAGGGTCCTCGATGGCCCGGGGCATTTGCTGGATGTCCCAGATGAGAGCCTGATGGTCATCCGCTAGGGACAAAAAAAGCCAGCAAGCAAGGTCACCACTCAACCAATGGGGATAGTGATCCCTGCATTTGGGGAGCACATTAGAGGTCACACTGCTAAACTCTCTGTGAGGGAGGTTTTATTTCAAGATGAGGAAACCGACATTCAGAAATGCTAAGGCACTTGCTCTGAACCACACAGCTAAGCAGCTGGTGGGTGGCAGAGCCAGAACTCAAACCTAGGCCTTGATTCTAGATGTCCCTGGGCTCCATCCACTATACCAGAGTAAGGATGTCCAAATGGGACTTACCTCTAACTCTCATCTGATTTAGGCATAAGGAGAGGACATGTCATTTTCAGCCACTTAAAATAGTTGAGGGGCTAAAGATCCTTATCTGATAATTCAACATAATATGAACTTTTTTCTTGTTTTAGGGACATTTATGCTTCAACAAGGTATTGTATAGAACAGGCTGAGTATAATCCTAGCACTCTAGGAGGCCGAGGCCCCAGAGGATCTTGAGCTTAGGAGTTTGAGACCAGCCTGAGTAAGAGTGAGACCTGTGTCTACTAAAAATAGAAAAATTAGCCAGGTATTGTGGCATGTACCTATAGTCCGAGCTATTTGAGAGGCTGAGGCAGGGGGACTGCATGAACCCAGGAATTTGAGGTTGTTGTGAGCTAATCTGAGGCCATGTACTCTACCCTAGCTAACAGAGTAAAAGACTCTGTCTCCAATCCCCCCCCCCAAAAAAAACCCAATGACAATTGAGATAAGGTACTATGTGGACATGTGTTGTTAAAAGGCCATGGGAAACACTAGGAAGATGGTAACCACTTAAATACATGTATGTATGCACGAGAATGGTGGCAATGTAAAGATGGCAAAGGTATGTGTTATATTTACTTTACTCTAGTTCTTAAATAATCTGTAATGTGGTCATACTACCTTTTTATTTTTAAAGTGGGGTTTTACTCTGTCACCCAGGATAGCTGGAGTGCAGCAGTGAGACCATAGCTCACTGTAACCTCAAATACCTGGTTCAAGCAATCAGCCTCCCAAGCCTCTGGGACTATAGGCACAAGTCACCATGCCAAGCTGTGTGACTTTTACAATCAAAACCAATTATTTGTTTTTGAGAAAGGGTCTTGCTCTGTCCAGGCTGGAGTGCAGTGGCATTATCATGGCTCCCTGCAACCTCAAACTTCTGGGCTCAAGTGATCCTTCTGCCTCAGCCTCCCAAGTAGCTGGGATTATAGGATGGAACTATACACATACCACTACATACAGCTATTTTTTTTTTTAATTTTTGTGAGTCACTATGCTTGGTTAAGTTCTTAATTTATAAAAGCAAAAGACAACGACCTTCATAGCCACAGAGTTCTCTGATTTCCACTATGCATCTTGATGTGAAAGCTGGTCTTGGATACACAGGAATATGAATAAATTAAACCCTAATAGGCAAGGCTAACTGACAAAACTGGCTTCCTACCAAGGCCACATAACCTGGGCAAGGAGCACAGTCCCCTTCCCAGGAACGATCTGCATCAAGAAATCTGGGCAATTGCTTTCAACACTCAGCACCTCGAAAACACTAAGTTCCTTTCTCAATGTTCAACCAACCACAATACAGCAACAGCTCCTGCAATTGAAGGGACTCAGAACAGGTGCAACACCCAAAACAATGGCAAGCCAGGCAAAGGCAGCCAGCCAGCAGAAAATGGGCCTTCTCCTGGGCCAGTCCTGCTTTCCATGAACAATGGATGATACTTTCCTTTTTTCAAATTTCACTTCCTTTCCTCACTCCTGGAAAAAATAATGAAGGCAGCAGACCTCAATCTGAGGTAAAGAAGGTAGCAGTGAGCCCCCAGCTTCTCCTGGGCATGAGCTCAAACTAAGAAAATCTTCATTTCTTTCAAACAAATGTTCAAATGTCAGAAAACCACCAAACTACCTTGCTTTGGATCCATAATGAACAAGGTTCATTCTTTGGTCTGGGAAATGGTGAAATGAGAACTACAAGTCATACACCACTGGCCAGGCAAGGCTATCTGGGGCTCTTCAGAGCATCTAAAGCTCATGAAGTTACAGTAAGCCTGAAAGGCCTCAGGGAGATATCTATCTTGGCCATCCCAAAGATTCTCTTACAGCCAGAGATCTCTCCCTTCCCCACTTTACTGGATCTGTGTGCTTTGTGCCAACCTAGATTTCAAGGGACAGTATGAGACATAGGCCTATACTTGATACATGACATAAATAGTATATGGAAGCTGCTCCGATATCCACAGAAGGTATAACACTATCAGAAAATCTGGACTGTTTGTGCAGAGGCTCTAATTAGTTACTTTATGTAAATATCTCAAAACTGTCCTTGGAAAATAGTAAACATTACAATTCTAAGGAGCCAGGAGTGACAGATTCTCCACCCCTGGTCTCATTACTTTCTCCCTACTGTGGTTACCTGCAGTGCAGATGTGGCAAGATGAATGTGGGGCCCAAGCAATGCCATTGACACATGCTCGGTGGTTGTTTAACCTGGCGACAGGTGTGCAGGGAACTCGAACATCCAGAATCACAACCTGCAGAAATAACAAGTAGAAGGTCCAGGAGCTTCAGAGTTCAACAGAAACAACAAACAAACAAACAAAAAACAAACTAAAAACACTACGCACAAAAAACTTTTTAAGCGTAACTTTTTCATTTGTGGATTTAAAAAAATATTAGAGCAGGATTTCCTTAAGATAGAGGAAAAAGCAAACAAAGGACCTAAGTAGTTTATAGTCTATATCTTGAGCAACACCAGGCCTTTAGATTGATAGGGAAGGGGAGAAGCAGGAGTGGGCTATCTGAGCTTGGATAATCCACCCAGTCCTGGTAGGTGCGTGTGATAAGAATTCTGCACAACCCAGCTGAACAGAATGAGAACCCCACCACGGCAGAAGCCGAGGCCCTCGCTTTACCAAACCAAGTTAACTGCTGCATAGTCTCCAGCCATTGACACATGCTCAGTGTCACTATACTTTTCTGTAGTATCAAGTAAAAGATTACAGAGAGAGCTGCCATTTCCATGTCTGTTTGACAAAGCTGGGTGAATCTGTCAGACTACTGAAGGGGAAAATGGCCTGTTTTCTCACTCAGCATCAAGATTTGCTTTACTCTTTAGATACTGCTTTCCTTGCCTCCAATTCCAGCTCTCCAAGTATTAAAAGTTCTTAACACACAGTCCTTGTTCTAGATCAGGCCTTCTCAATCTTGGCACCACTAACATTTTAGGTAGGATAATACTTTTAGGGGGGCTGTACTGTGCATTACAGTTAGCAGCCTCCCTGGTCTCTACTCACTAGATGCCAGTTGCGCTCACTACCTGCTTCCAAGCCCTGAGTTATGAGAACCAAATGTCTCCAGATATTTCCAAAGATCCCCGGGGGGCAAAACGGCCACCAGTTGAGAACTACCCTTTTAGATGTACTAGACAGTGCTCAAGTTAAATGGCAGGGCCTATGTTAGCCAGAGCAGGACGCTCACCTCCATTCCATCCATGGCCATGGTAGCCAGGTAGTTAGGGTCTTGCTTGTTCCAGCATAGGCGAAGCAGTGGGTGATGCTGTGGGTCTTCATAAATGATGGTGCTGTGTTCTAGATGGCGGAGGTCAAACATCCGCACTGAGCCATCAGCGCCCACAGAGGCAAACATGTCCCTGCCACCACCGGCCCGGCTAAAAGCAATATCATAGACCTGTTGGTGAGTAAGAACCTTCGGTCAGATTCAGATCTGTTACCTCCTTTTCCCCAAATAGGGAAATCTGCCATGTCCAGTTCATCCAAATGCCAGGTCATGACACAGAAGCAGGTGAAGAAGGTAAAGCCCAAGCAGTGTCTGTGAATGCTGGAACCTGCAAGCTCTGTTGCAACCATCAGTGGTTCCCCAGAGAGTGAAGATCATTCTGCTACAGAAAGTGACTGGCTTCTTCTCACATTCCTGCCTCCAAGTCTTCTCCCTCCAACCCCTGTGATAAAATAAAAGGCGCATACCCTGCTGGCAAATAGAGCAGTGGCTATCTTCTGTCACACTACAAGAACGAGACATTTATTTCATGGGCCTTGGTAGCTTTCACTTGTGTGCAATCAGAGGTAGCTTCATGACCACATTAAGGCCAAGAGATCATCAGTCTAAGAGGTGGAAGCAGCCCCCCTGCTGCCACTCAATAGCAGCCAAGCGGATTCTACCATGAAACCTGGACCTGAGATTCATCTGCAAGAATCAATCATAGGGGGTGTGGGTATTCCTATGTCCACAAGTGGGTTTAGTAGCATTCTCTTGTCCTAGGACATGTTGCTTCTTCTTCTAATTGCTGGGTACCCATAAATGAATCAATTAGGGTTTGAATCATTGTTTCTTGCATTTATTACTCACTACAAACATTGTATAACACTAACGTCTATGAGGAAACAGAGGCAGAGAGCAATGGAGAGCTTTAGAGAAAAAGAGGGACAAAGAGACAGAGAGAACCAGAGTCAGGTAAGTAGAGAGCCAGATTAAAAACAGAAAAACAAAAGCCAAATTAAACCCATCTTCTGGGGTCAAGAATAATGATGACAGCTGACTTGTAGGGAGACTCAAATGGAACTTCTCAACTTCTCATTAAACATTGTAGCTTGCTGGGCCTAGTGGCTCACGCCTATAATCCTGGCACTCTGGGAGGCTAAGGTGGACAGACTGCTTGAGCTTATGAGACCAGCCTGAGCAAACTGAGACCCCAGGCTCTGCACCTGTAGCTCAGCGACTAGGGCACCAGCCACATACACCGGAGCTGGTGGGTTTGAATCCAGCCTGGGCCTGCCAAACAACAATAATAACTAGAACCAAAAAATAGCCAGGTGTTGTGGCGGGCACCTGTAGTCCCAGCTACTTGGGAGGCTGAGGCAAGAGAATCGCTTAAGCCCAAGAGTTTGAGGTTGCTATTACCTGTGACGCCATGGCACTCTACCAAGGTTGACATAGTGAGACTCTGTCTAAATAAATAAAGACTGAGACCTGATATCTACTAAAAATAAAAAGCTAGCCAGGCTTGGTGGCACACATGTGTAGTCCCAGCTACTTGGGAAGCTGAAGCAGGAGGATTGCTTGAGCCCAGGAGTTTGAGGTTGGCTGTGAGCTATGATGCCATATCACTCTAGCCTGGGGCAACAGAGTCAGATGCTGCCGCAAAAAATAAAATAAAATAAAATTCTGTAGCTCCAACCTTCTTGAGCAGGTGTCCTCAAACTATGGCCCACAGGCCACATGCGGCCCACCGGGTGTTTTTCCCGCCGCTGCCTGTCCTGCTTAGCAGCCGACTCCTCCCAGGGCTCACAGTCCGGCCCTCCAACAGTCTGAGGGACAGTGAACTGGCCCCCTGTTTAAAAAGTTTGAGGACTCCTGTTCTGGAGGTTCTATTTTCTGAGGCACACTGCCAAATGAGCTTCCAATTGTAGTCAACCTCATAAATTCCTTTTTCTCTGGCTGACTATGAAGAAATTATGCTTCTCTTTCTTTTCTTTTCTTTTTTTTTTTTTTTTGAGATAGTCTTAGTTTGTCACCTTCGGTAGAGTGCTGTAGCATCATAGCTTACAGCAACCTCAAACTCTTGGGCTAAAGCAATTCTCTGGCCTCAGCCACCTGAGTAGCTAAGACTATAGGCTCCCAACACAACCCCCTATTTTTAGAGACAAGGTCTCCCTCTGGCTCAGGCTGGTCTTCAACTTGTGAGCTCAGGTGATCCACCCATCTTGGCCTCTCAGAGTGCTAGGATTATAGGTGTGAGCCACTGTGCCTGGCCCTATGCTTCTCTTTCTGACAGGAATTAGAAGTGGTTCAAAAGGAACTGGGCCAGTCACCAGCAAGGAGGTCACCAGGCCTAGCACATCCAACAGATCAAGACTTTGTTAGTACTGTCCAACCCTTTAAGGCAGAGGCATATTTATCAGTATGTGTGTCCCACCATGCCGGGCTCTTGATAACTTTCAGGACAGAGATACCACAGGTGCCCACAATGAGCATGGCCAAGTGCGTAAAGCTCTCTAAGTTTTAAGTGACTGCTCCTTTCTTTGTGCTCTACCAGTGTGGTTCATCATAAATGAAGGGAAGGTGACAACTCCCAAACACAATTAAATCTTCTCTGCCAGGTAGCTACAAGAGCCTCCCACATGAGTCTTCTTAAAGAGACAGGTGGACTGAAAAAAAAAAAAAATCAAAGGTGCTAGGTGGTATGACTATTTCCCTAAAGCCACCATCCCCAGGTTCATTTGTTTCAAGGCCAGAGAACTAGTATAGGCTTGTTTGCTGTTAAGATCCATTCCTGGACCTCTCCCTGCTCTTCTCTGTATCACAAAGAGAGCTGATTCACACAGACTGAGTTTGGCAGGGTCCCAGCTCTGCTGGCTGCTTCTGACTGGTTCAGCCACGGGAGGCCCTGGTGGGAAACTGGATGGTGGGAGGCAGGGAGCAGTAAGGTATTTCTCCTCCCCTCTCTCTGTTCCCAGAAGCGTCTCAGTCAAGTAAATCCAGCCCCTGGGTTCCAGTAACCCTGCCTCCTCCCTTGGCCTCTCCAGCGCACAGGCAGTAGCAGTTTCCTACTGCTCCCATTCTCCAGACTACCTCACTGCTACTTATGTGGCTTCTCAGCTTTGCTATCCTCTTATAAGCAATCCCCCGGAGTAAATACTTAAGAGTAGTTCCTGCTTTCTGGGTTGGACCTCACAGAGAATAGCAGGTTAAATTATCACATAATTACAATGTAGCAACCTGTTCCACTTGATGCTAAGAGGATTTCCAAAAGTTCCTTACTGGTCCTCTCTGCAGGACAAACTCTTCATTTGACCCTTGGGGTTTAGCAGCAGTCAAGTCCAGAAGTCTTGCAACAGATCTTACCCTTAAAAGTATAGAAACCTCTAGTATAGAAGTACAGAAACAATCCCTTACTAAGAATGATAACCTGGTCATCACCTTCATATTGTTGAAAACCTCAAGTTTCTGCAAAGCATTCTTTTTTACCTGTACAAATATTAATACCCATAGCTGTGCAGGGTAAGGTAGCAAAAGAGAAGGAAACACTACCTACAGGAAATTAGAGTATCAGGAGCATGCAATGGCTATAGAAGGAAAAGATTTACAATGCTCCAAAATCACCTAGAAGAATACTTTGATTAAAACGAAGTCACAAATATCTGTCTTCAGCTTTTCCAATAAAGAAGAAACATCACCATCAAAGTAAAATGTATTCAATTGCAAATAGTAATAAAAGTATAAAGATTAAGTGACTATACTAGAATTTCACAAAACATTGTTAGAGAAAAATTATTAATTAGGTCTGCCTATCAGAAAATTTTCTCTCTTCTGGTTCGCCACCTGTAGCCCAATGGTTAGAGTGCTGGCCACATATACTGGGGCTGGCAAGTTTGAACCTGGCCCAGGCCTGCCAAACAACAATGACAACTACAACACCAACAAAAAAGCTGAGCATTGTGGCAGGCACCTATAGTCCCAGCTACTTGGGAGGCTGGGGCAAGAGAATTGCTTAAGCCTAAGAGTTTGCTGTGAGCTATGATGCCAAAGCACTCTACTGGGGGTGACACAGTGAGACTCCATCTCAAAAAAAAAAAAAGAAAAAGAAAATTTTCTGTCTTCTTGTCTCCTTTCTCCCTCAAAAATCTAACATGTTTTGAGATTAAGTGTTACTCTACGATTATTATTTTCTTTTTTCTGTCACCCAAGCCAGAGTGCTGTGGAGTCTGCCTAGTTCATAGTAACCTCAAACTCCTGGGTCTCGGCAATCCTTGTGCTTCTGCCTCCCAAGTAGCTGGGACTACAGGTGCCCACCACAATGCCCAGCTAATTTTTCTATTTTTTGTAGAGATGGGCTCTTGCTCTTGCTCGAACTCCTGAACCTAGGCAATCCTCCCACTTCAGCCTCCCAGAGTGCTAGGATTACAGGTGTGAGCCACCACACCCAGCCAGATTATTTTTTAATCATATCAGCCCCTAGTTTATCTTTAAGAGACTATATTATTTAAAAAATAGCAACCTCTGGCACAAAAAGAAAAATGTTACACTATAGAATAAGTCAATTATATCAGGTAAGAAATGCATTCATTTACAACAGTGCTGTTTTCTAACCGCTTTGGCATATTATTCTTTTCAATTTAGAAGATACTAGCATTATATTATGTTTTTCTACGTAATCTGCAGAATTATGAGAGAGAGAACAGTCTGGCCTCACACCAAAGGCACAGCAAGCACATAAGGAAAGAAGAAAATGAAAAGCATCATTACCTCTTTGTCATGAGCGATCAGTTGGGTCTTCACATGGCCAGACACAAGATTCACTCGCCCCAATACTTGCCCTGTCTCCAGCCCCCAGATGGTGCAAGTTGTATCAATGCTTGAGGTGCCTGCAAACAACCAGTCCAAGTCAGGAGGGGTTACAAGACTGAAGTTTCCATACAAGCTTCCCTCCTGTGCCTGCCCATCTGCTCAGCTCAAGGGACAAGAGGCCACAAACACTTTCTGAACATGGGTGGCAGGTACCAGGAAAGTCACAAATAGAGTCAAGTACTCAACCTGCACCTTAGGACCTTGAATTTCAACTAGAAAGACAAGATATACACAAATGGAAAGCTCAACTCCTTACAAAGAATTAATAAACACATTCCATATTGAGCCTATTTCCCATCTGGCCCTGTTTTAGGACAATGCATGTACCTCAGAAGCCTCTGGTTTAAACACCGCCCCACTGGTGAATCTGAGAAAATGCTCTTCAAGCTGGAATATGCACACCCTAACTCCCTTACCTAAAAGATAAGGATCCACCTCATTCCAGTCAAAGGAGGTCAGGGGAGCACAGAAATCAGAGTTCTTGTTATTGTTTAGCAAACATTCCAGCCTGGTCTCTGTTTCGCCAACCTAAAAGAAAAATAATTTTTAAAATCAGCCTGTCTTAACCTCATAAAAAGTCTTAAAAGCCCTGTTTAGATAATCTCTTAGTAAACATAAGACAGGAGGGGAAAACATTTTTATCATAAAGAATAATAAACCATGAATGTTACTTCCTTCCAAATTTTCTACTCTGCCCAGCTTTGCTTTCCGAATTTCTATCTCACGTCCTTCTAGTGAAGAGATCTTCTTACCCCTTAAGGGCCACCACACTCCCAGGCTACAGGGGAGACCCCTTACAATGAACTCAATGGAGAGGGGAGAGGAGGAGAGGCTCCAAGATACACTCATACACTTTATTAGAACCAATGCCAGGTATTTTGTTTAATTTACTCAAAAATATCTTGGCTGTAAACAGAATATGAGGTCCCCAAAGTCTCCCCACCTCCAACGAAGGCTGTTGTCGTCAAAACATGTTAACTAAGCCTCATCTTTCCAGGGGCTGACTGCAGCCAACAGGACTTCATGGAATTGTTACTAGAAAATCTATTGAGCCAAACAAGGTCAATCCAATAAGCATGCCTTGCTTCTCCCATGCTGTAATGATGCTTGCCACCTCTGAGCCCACTTTATTCTCTGTGACTCCACACTGCTAGCGGCTGCCACTGAGAAAGCCCATTTCCCTGACTGCTCATCAAGCATCTGCTTACCCTCCACACACGGAGATAGTCACCACTTGTCGCCAGTAGGTCTGGATAGACGCCTTTTGTGTCAGGGATCCACATGAGCTTTGTGGTAGGATATGGGTGGTCAAAAGTATTTCGGCAAATAAACTCTGAGCTCTCCTCATCTAAACCAACAAGCTGAACCTGTAACAGACCAAAGTTGAGCCACATAAGCATTTGTTTTCCTGAAGCAGCATGGGCTTGTTCCACCATTTTCTTTCAGAGTTTTTTGAAAAACAAAAAAAATTTAAATTTTGATAACATCTTTTGCCATGTCTTTTCTTTTATAAGTTCATGCTTTATAAAAGAAATCTTCGCCTAACCCCAGGTCACAAATATTTTCTCCTGTTTTCTTCCAAAGTTTTCTAGTTTTAGGCTTTATATTTAGGTTTATGAGCCATTTCAAGTTAATTTTTTTTGGAGACAGAGTCTCACTTTGCTGCCCTTGGTAGAGTGCTGTGCTGTCATAGCTCACAGCAACCTCCAACTCTTGGGCTTGCGTGATCCTCTTGCCTCAGCCTCCCATGTAGCTAGGACTACAGGCCCCCAACACAGCACCTGGTTATTTTTAGTGATGGGGTCTCACTCTTGCTTAGGCTGGTCTCAAACCCCTGAGCTCAGGGCAATCTACCTACCTCAGCCTTCCAGAGTGCTAGGATTATAGGCATGAGCCACCATGCCTGGCCTCAAGTTAAATATTTTTTATAATTTTCTTTTTTTGAGACCAAGTCTTGCTCTATTGTCCAGGCTAGAATGTGGTGGCATCATCATAGCTCTCAGCAACCTGAAACTCTTGGGTTCAAACAATGCCCCTGCCTTAGCCTCCTGAGTAGTTGGGACAATAGGCATGGGCCACCACACCCAAATAAAGTTTCTATTTTTAGTAGATACAGGGTCTCACTGTTGCTCAGGCTGGTCTCAAACTCCTGAGTTCAAGGGATTCTCCTGTCTTGGCCTCCCAGAGTGCTAGGATTATAGGTGTGAGATATTGTGAGGCCATGCCCGGCCTCAAGTTAAAATTTTTATTAGGGCATTATATCTGACATGTCTGAAATGATTTCAAACCAAAAGTTTACAGTTGATTACATCTCAAACAAGAATCAGTACAATTTATCAAAGTATGCACCTAAACTATTGGACACAGTTTCAACATCTTAACACATTAACTTTCACATGAGTTGTATTTAACTGAAGCTAGTTTTGAGCCTGGGGACTCACGAAGCTGTGAAACCTCTGCTTATTGTTTTCACTGTCAAGTGGCATGTCTCTGCCACCTCTCTCCCGGCTCCAGCCAGCCAGCCAAGATCACCACAGGAGCTAGACTGTGTTCTCTGATTACCATAACCTCTGGTATTGTATTTCACCTTGACTGTTTGCCTGGCAACTCTTTGAACGAAATCAACAGACAGCATACAGTGATGTAACAATGTTGCAAATACTCAAAGGGTATGATTCAGAAGTCATTATCCAAGACCACCCCAGGTCCACTCCGGACACAACCAGATGCAGAATGACAAAAGACTGAATTCTTAGAAACAAATTCAGCAAGTATGTCGTGAGTCACATACAACTCACATGGTATGCAATGTAACAAACTGAATTCTAGTGCTGTATGAGTTGCACAGAAAACAATAAAAATAATTAATTCAATTATTTTTAATTTCAATTTTTTCATTAAATTAGAAAGGATCATTTTGTTTTTGAAGCTTTTACTCTATTTTTGTAATAAAACACCATGGCCCCAAGGAAAAAAAGGTTTTTTTCTAGTGTAGCAATCACTGTGTTGAAGATGGCTTGTTTTTGCCAGCAGCCAAGACATGTGGAGAGTGAGTCTCAATGAAATCACGGAGGCGTTTTCCACAGCTTGTTGAGAATGGAATATTTTTTTCTTGCAAGAAATGGTCCAAACCCTGGAAGATGTGGTAGATCTGGTGAATATGGGGGATGACAAAAAGTTTCCAAGTCCAGCTTCTGTAGTTGAAGCAGTGTTGTGTATGGGACAGCATTGTCTAGCAAGAGGATCGGCTTGTCTCTGTTGACCAATCTCAGCTGCTGAATCACAAGCATCCTCATCATGTCATCCAACTGGTTGCAGTAGACACCCATGATAATTGCCTGACCAGGTTTCATGAAGGTGTAGTGGATAATACCAGTGCTGGACCACCAGACATCATTAACTTTTTTGATGAATATTTGGTTTTGGACTTTGGTTCAGCCCTTCGTCTTTATTTAGCCATTGTGCCAAACGCTTGCAATTGTCAAAAAGAATCCATTTTCATCACACATAACAATGCAGCATAGAAATGGTTTGCCTTTATGTTGGGACAGCAAAGAAAGGCAAGCTTCAAGACCATTTTTCTTCTGATGCTCATTTAAATTCATGCAGAATCCATCTATCTATTCTTCACCTTGCTGATTTGTTTCAAATGGTCCAATAGTGTTAGAATAGTAACACCAAACCTTGCTGCTAGTTCACGCATACGTTGAGATGGATTCGCTTTCCCTGCAGCTTTCAGCTCATCATTGTCTACCTTGGTCTGAGGTCACTCACGTGGCTCATTTTTACAAGTAAAAGCATGAAAATGGACCAACATACTGTCTATTCATTAGCCACATCCTTCCTAAACACTTTGTTGATATTTCCAGCTGTCTGTGCAGCATTGGTTCCACAATGGAACTCATATTCAAAAATAACACGAGGCCTGGCACAATGGCTCACGCTTGTAAATCCTAGCACTCTGGGAGGCAGGTGGATTGCCTGAGCTCACAGGTTCAAGACCAGACTCAGCCAGAGTGAAACTCCATCTCTAAAAATAGCTGGACATTATGGTGGGCATCTGTAGTCAGTCCCAGCTACTCAGGAGGCTGAGGCAAGAGAATCTCTTGGGCCTAAGAGTTTAAGGTTGCTGTGAGCTGTGATGCCACAGCACTCTATCGAGGGCAACAAGACTCTGTCTCAAAAACAAAAAAAAAAAAACAAGCAAAAAACCATGAATTTTGGCTTATCCATGGTTTCACAAAAATTGCTCTAAAAATTTTTTTTGAAAGATAATTACAACCCAAAATGTATGTTTGAAACACTAAGGATGTACTTTCGCAAGAAAAATAAAACAAGGGTCAAAGTGAAATGCTCAAACTTAGTACTTAAAGAAATCCGACAAAGCATACTCAGTAACCTAATATACTATGCAAGGTATCACTCAAGTTTTGCTCTTTTAACATATGAATATCTGATTGTCCAGTATTATTTGCTGTCAAAACTATTCTTTTTCCTTTGAATTACCTTGACTCCTTTATTGGAAATCAATTGATCATGTATTTGTACATTCCTAGACTCTATTCTGTTCCACCAATCTATTTGCCCATCTGTTTGTATCTCCCTGCCTTGATTACAGTGGCTTTTTAGTAAGTCTTGGAATTAAGTAGCATGAGTTCTCCAACTCTGTTCTTTTTTGAAATTGTTTTGCTGGCTCGGTGCCCATAGCTCCGAGGTTAGGGCGCCAGCCATATACACTAGGGCTGGCAGGTTTGAACCCAGTCTAGGCCTGCTAAATAATGACAACTGCAACAACAACAAAAAAATAGCTGGGCATTGTGGTGGGCATCTGTAGTCCCAGCTACTTGGAAGGCTGAGACAAGAGAATCACTTAAGCCCAAGAGTTTGAGGTTGCTGTGAGCTATGATGCCATAGGACTCTACAGGGGCGACATAGTGAGACCCTATCTCAAAAAAATAAAAACCTATTTTGCTATTCCACACTTCTGCCTTTCCATGTAAATTTTACAGTCAGCTTAGCAAATTCTATAAAAACCCTGCTGATGTTCTGATTGAGATTGTGTAGAATCTACAGATTAGTTTGGGAAGAAGTGCCTTCAATGATACTGAGTCTTGGCTGGCCAATGGCTCACACCTGTAAATCTTAGTACTCTGGGAAGCCAAGGTGGAAAGACTGTTTGAGCTCAGGAGTTCAAGACCAGCCTAAGCAAGAGTAAGATCCTATCTCTGCTAAAAACAAGAAAAAGATAGCCAGGAGTTGTGGTGGGCAGCTATAGTCCCAGCTCCACAGGAGGCTAAGGCAGGAGAATTACTTGAACCTAGGAGTTTGAGGTTGCTATGAGCTAGGCTGAGGCCATGGCATTCTAGCCTGGGACAACAGAATGATACTGTCTCAAAAAAACAACAGGCTCAGTGCCTATAGCTCAAGCCGCTAAAACGCCAGCTACATACACCAGGGCTGGTGGGTTCGAATCTAGCCCGGGCCTGCCAAACAACAATGACAACTACAACCAAAAAATAGCTGGGTGTTGTAGCAGGCGCCTGTGGTCCCAAGTACTTGGGAGACTGAGGCAAGGGAATCGCTTCAGCCCAGGAGTTGGAGGTTACTGTGAGCTGTGATGCCACTGCACTCTATCCAGGGTGACAGCTTGAGGCTCTGTCTCAAAACAACAACAACAAAAAATAAAAAAGTGAGTCTTCCAAACCATAAACAAAGTGTATTCCTCTTTTTATTTAGGCCTTCTTAAAGCTCTTTCATGGGCGGCACCTGTGGCTCAAAGGAGTAGGGTGCTAGCCCATATGCCAGAGGCGGCAGGTTCAAACCCAGCCTTGGCCAAAAACTGCAAAAAAAAAAGATCTTTCAGCAATATTTTGAAATTTTTAGTGTATAGATCTTGCAATTTTTTTTTTTTTTTTGCAATTCTTTTATTAACTTTATTCGGGGCTCCACGCCTGTGGCTCAAACGGCTAAGGCGCCAGCTGCATACACCTGAGCTGGCAGGTTCGAATCCAGCCCGGGCCTGCCAAACAATAACAGCTGCAACCAAAAAATAGCTAGGTGTTGTGGCAGGTGCCTGTAGTCCCAGCTACTTGGGAGGCGGAGGCAGGAGAATTGCTTGAACGCAGGAGTCGGAGGTTGCTATGAGCTGTGATTCCACAGTTCTCTTCCCAGGGCTATAACTTGAGGCTCTGTCTCAGGGGAAAAAAAAAAAAACTTATTCTTAAGTAATTTTTATCCTATTATAAGTGGAATTGTCTTTTTAAATTCTACTTCCAATCATTCACTGCTACTATACAAAAACTAATTTATAAAACAAAACAAAATCATATTCTTTTTAATTTTTTTTTGAGACAGAGTCTCCAGCTGTCGCCCTGGGTAGAGTGCCATGGCGTCACAGCTCACAGTAACCTCAAACTCTTGGGCTTAGGCAATTCTCTTGCCTCACCCTCCCAAGTACCTGGGACTACAGGCGCCCACTACAATGCCCAGCTATTTTTTTTTGTTATAGTCGCTGCAGTTGTCATTGTTGTTTTAGCTAGCCAGGCTGGGTTCAAACCCACCAACCTCAGTGTATGTGGCCGGTGCCCTACCCACTGAGCTACGGGCACGGGCCCCACAATTCATTTTTGTACATTAATATTGGATCTTACAACTTTGCTACATTAGTTATTAATTTTAGTAGCTTTTTTGCATATTCCTAAGGATTTTTCTATGTATTTCTATGTAAGTATTATCATCCATGTCTAATTTTTAAAAATCCATATTCATTTTATGGAGCACTCAAAAGACTTTTAAAAAATCACCTAACATGTCAGGAAAGATAATGTACAAAGATGTAAAAGGACACAAAACCCAGTGCCATAAAACACTTAAGACAGCAATAAAAGTGATACCACAAGGCAACACATGATTAGCTGCTTATTTGTAACAGATAATAATCAGTAACAGTTCAGGGGAAAGAGGAATAATTGAAACTAAGCCAGTGAAGGAAAGTGGAATCAGGATCTGAGCACTCTTCAAAGTATCTAGGAAGCATCTGGGTAGGTAAACAGGAAAGGAAAAGCATCCTCCCCAGGTGGAACAGAGGAGCACGTGTACATCAGGGGCAAACCAGACAGGGCGCAGTGGCTCACGCCTGTAACCCCAGTACTCTGGGAGGCTGAGGCAGGTGGATTGCTTGAGAACAGGAGTTCAAGACCAGCCTGAGCAAGAGTGAGACCCCCGTCTCTAATTAAAATAGAAAAATCATCTGGGGCTCGGCGCCTGTAGTTCATTGGCTAGGGTGCCAGCCACACATATCAGGACTGCCTGGAGCCTGCCAAACAACAATGACAACTACAAAAAAAAAAAAAGCTGGATGTTGTGGTGGGCGCCTGTAGTCCCAGCTACTTGAGAGGCCAAAGTAAGAGCATTGCTTAAGCCCAAGAGTTTGAGGTGCCACAGCACTCTACCAAGGGTGATATAATAATACTCAGTCTAAAAAAAAAAAAAAAGAAAGAAAAGAAAAATCATGTGGGTGCGGTGCGAGTATGTCCCTGTTACTGGGGAGGCTGAGGCAAGAGGATCTCCTGAGCCCAGGAGTTTGAGGTTGATGTGAGCTATGATGTCACCACAGCACTCTATGTAGAGTAAAAGAGTGAGACTCTGTCTCAAAAAACCCCCAACTAAACCAAAACCCCGAACAGTGGCAAACTAAATGGACTACTTGGTGGCAGCAAGCATATCTGTCTGAGAGGACCACCTAGGAACAGAGATGTAACTGGGAAAGAGTGCTAGGGGCCGGCAGAAGAGCCCAAAAGCAACCTAAGGACAGAGGTGAGCTTCCACCAGGAAGGTGTCTGAGAAGACAGTGGTATGGTTATGAGGCCTTAAGGACAGACTGAATCAGGGAAGAGGCTGGAAGCCGGGAGCCCACAGGGGAACAAGTGTAAAGGTCAACAGCTTATGGTGACTGATAGTAAGAATGGCTAGAGATAACCAGGGATGGTCACAGGAGAGATTGTGATCAAAGGAATAGTTCTTACAGGGAACTAAAAAGTTAGCATACTCCTGCCTCAGCCTTCCATGTAGTTGGGACTACAAGCACCTGCCACAATGCCTGGCTAGTTTTTCTATTTTTAGTAGAAAAATATCCATCTTGCTCCTGAGCTCAAGCCATCTGCCTTGGCCTCCCAGAGTGCTAGATTATAGGCATGAGCCACCACGCTCAGCCCAAAGGGAAGACTGTAGATGAAACAGGGAGATTTAGCATCAGCTTTGGTGCAGGAGACAGAATAAAACAGAGAGTCTAAATGTTCAGGCTCCATTGGGCAGAATAAAGAATAAGCTGCTGGTATAGATTCTGTGCTAGATATTTCATTCATGTATTCATTCAGTAAATATTTACTGGGTAGCTACTAAGTGCCAGGCACTATTCTAAACGCTGGGGATAAGGCAGCAAGCACAAAACCCAGAATCCCTCTCTCTAACCATGCAGATTACACTGTGAGGTTAAACTGGAAGAAAAAATACCTTTCAAGTCATCAGAGATGTCTCCCCAAATCTGATCCCTCATGTGAGCACCTGCCACTTAGGATCCTCTTATCTTGACAAGGGCCTCCAACTCCCAGTCTAACTGATAGCTCCACTTTTGTTTGACTAGTTACTGCTTCCCCTCTTCTTTTCTTCTCATCCCTGTCTTTACATTTCTGATACTTATAAATCCTCATACCTCTTTTTCATTGATCTAAACCCTGCCCAATATTAACACAGCACAGCAGCAGCATAAGACTTCTAGGGTTCCTTACTTACTACCCACTAGTTGCAGGACCTTGGACACGTTACTCAAACTTTGCCAATCCTGTTTCCCAATTTGTAAAGCGAGGATGTTCACAGTAACCCTATGTACATAAACTGCCTTACTCAATATACAAACTTTTAATATTATCTCACCTTTTTCATAAACCATCTGCGGTCTTCCCAGTCCAGCGATCTACTAACCACTTGGTGACTAATCCCATACTGCCTCTTGAAAGCACTGACATTATTGTCTTGTGCTAGGTCACTTAGTAAATAGGCTTAAAGACTTGGCCTGTGTCCTACTTCTCATACCACCTACATCAATGGTTTCCACTTTGGCTATCAGATTTGCCCGGGGTACTTTACACATTCAGCAAGTGTCAAGTGGGACCCAGCAGTCTGTATTATTATTATTTGAGACAGTCTCACTCACAACCTCAAATTCTTTGGGCTCAAGCGATTCTCTTGCCTCAGCCTCCCAAGTAGTTGGTACACAGGCCCCCACCATAGCACCTGGCCCAGCTATTTTTTAGGGACAGGGTCTCACGGGTCTCAAACTCCTGAACTCAAGCAATCCACCCACCTTGGCTGCCCAGAGTGTTAGGATTACAGGTGTGGGCCACTGCACCTGGCCTTCAGGAGTCTGTATTCTTAGGAACTTCCCTGGTGATCTGATTTTAGCAAGGTTTGACAACCTCTACACAACAGTACCTAACCCAGGGAAAAAGTCAGAAAATAGCTGAGATCTTTCTGATTTTCTTAACACTTTCAGAAATGGTGATGAATTAAATTAATTTGACGTCAAGAACAAAGCCACCCTCATTGTTCTGAAAAGCCTCAAGAAATTCCAAAGTCATTTAAAAAATTAGCTTGTGTGGTAATGTGTGCCTACAGCCCTAGCTACTTGGGAGGCTGAGGCAGCAGGATCACTTGAGCCCCCGAGTTCAATACTGTAGTGAGCTATGACTGCTTCACACCTCTAAAGCCCAGCCTGGGAGACAGAGTAAGATGTTATGTTTATTCCTCCCCCACTTTTTTTTTAATTGGGGAAGAGAGGTTTTTCTTTTTTCTAAAACTTGCACCAATGTAAAGCAAAGCTCTAATTGATGCGGGCATGCTGTGTAGGTGTTAGCAGTACCGTCTCACTATGAGCTTACTGGACAGTAGTGCAACCCCAAGAAAAGGACAGTTAAGATACTATCTTCAAAAAAAACAAAGAAGAATTCAAAAGTTCTGATATTGTTTTTGAAATGACTTTTCCCCAATTATAAAATTATAGCGTTTTCATTATAGAAAATATTGCCCCCAAACAGAAGGAAATTTTTAAAAATAAAAATCCTACCACATAAAGATAACCACGGATTTTCTTCTTTCTCCTGGCTTCCAGTTTTGGCGTTTTTTTTTTTTTTTTTTTTTTTGGAGACAGAGTCTATGTCGCCCCTGGTAGAGCGCCGCGGTGTCACAGCTCATAGCAACCTCAAACTCTTGGGCTCAAGCTATTCTCTTGCCTCAAGTGCCCACCACAATGCCTGGTTATTTTTTTGTTGTTATTGTTTAGCAGGCCTGGGCTGGGTTAGAATCCACCAGCCCTGGTGTATGTGGCTGGCACCCTAACCAGTGAGCTATGGACACCAAGCCTGGTTTATAGTTTTTAAGTAGTTTCAAGCACTATGGAAGTAATGAATAGCAACTGTAAATAAAGTACTAAGTACAGAGAATACAAGGTATACATCCCTCTTTCAATGCCCTACTATTTAATCAATCCTCAATATGTAGATGTTCATGTTGTTTCTAATTTTTATAACAAATATTAATAGTACTTTAATACATCTTTATTATAGGTTATTTCCTTAAGATAAATAAAACCTAAGTGGAACTGCTAGTTCGAGGAGTATAATTATATTAATGAATGTTAGGTAGCTCATGACTTCTGCCCACATTTGTTTTCAAAATGCCTACTTATAAGGATTAAATTTTAAAACATTCAGTCACCCAGAGTCCTTCCCATTTATTGAACTCATTATAATTATTTTAGAATCACAGGAGCCCTCAGTCAGAATGACGAGATAAAAACAAAGATGGAGGACTATGTGGTTGTTGCTCAGAACAGGGAGTGTACCCATTTGACAAGGATTAATACAAGTGTCTGCTGCACTGAAAAAAGAATTAGCACAAAATGGAATAACTGTGCAGCAGTCCTGGGAACTAATCTAAGAGAAACTCTTCCAATGTTGTTTAGTAGCAGAGAACCCCCACCCCATGTGTGCTCAATACCTCCTTCACTAAAAAGCATGAAAGGGAACAGGAGGTTTCCCTATCAAGGATATGTGAAAGAGCAGCTTTGGATCCAGTATCCAAGACTCAAATACAATGAACGTTAATCATTTCCTTTAGCTATTAGGCTGATGTGACCAACATTCTAGTAATGAATCAATATGGAATGTTTAATCTATTGCAGTAAGACACCTGATGTAGCTGGTGCATTCCAGTTTTTCTCATGGTCAATCCAAGCACCTGGAAAAAGACACTTGGGACTATTTAACATTTATTTATATTTTTATTTTAGAATAATATGAAGGTACAAAAGATGAGATTATGTTGTTTGCATTTGTTAGGTAGAATCCAAGTCGTAGTTAAGGCCCTCACCCAGGAGGTGTGCCATATACCCTTACATTGTGCCTACTGGATAAGAGCTTACCAATCCTCCCCCCTCTAACACTTGAGTTTAATTTAATTGTGTTTTTCTCTTGTATGGACACGTATTTGTTTGTCTACTGGTTTTATGTTAGTACTGAGTATACTGGATACTTGCTTCTCCATTCTTGTGATACTTCACTAAGTAGAATGTTCCCCAACTCTATCCAGGTTAATACCAAATAGGTAGTCTCCATATTTTTTATGGCTGAATAGTATTCCATGGTATACACACACAACAGTTTACTAATCCAATCATGTGTTGATGGGTGCTTGGGTTGATTCCACATTTTGGCAATTATGAACTGAGCTGTGATAAACATTCTAACGCATATGTTCTCATGGTAAAATAATTTTTACATATCTAGTAATGGGATTGCAGGATCAAATGGAAGGCCTACTTTTAGTTCTTTGAGGATTCTCCATACTTTTTTCCAAAGAGGCTCTCTTAGTTTGGAATCTCACCAGCAGTGTAAAATCCACACCCTCACCAGCATCTGCGACTATAGGACTTTGTGATGTGGACTGTTCCCACTGGGGTTAGATGATAGCTCAAGGTGATTTTGATTTGCATTTCTCTGATTATTAGGGATGATGAGCATTTTTTCATGGTTTTTCTTGGCCATTCATCTGTCTTCTTTGGAGAAGGTTCTGTTCATATCTCTTGCCCAATGATAAATAGGATTGTTTGTTCCTTTTTTAGACTACTTAAAAGGTTAATCTGTTACTCAAGAAACCAGATAATACTGGCTCCTAAATACCTGTGCAAGATCTGAGAAATTTTAAGAATTAAAAAAAAAAGTAGTAGTATACATGAAGCTACGACTTTGGATGGTGGGTGGTGAGAGGGCATGGCCTGGTGATTACTAATCCCGGTGGTACTGTCAGAAATAGCAGGGCAGTTTTAAAGCTATGCATGGGGCCAGGTGCAGTTCAGGCCTATATTCCCAGCAGAGCACTTTGGGAGGCCAAGGCAGAAGAATCTTTGAGCTTGAGTGTTTAAGACTAGCCTGGGTAACATAGTGAGACCCTGTCTCTATCAAAAAAATAATTAAACACACACACACACACACATGTGCAGCCTCATCCTCTGAAGGTTCTGATTCAGTAGGTCTGGGTATGAGCTTTAAAAAAAAACAAAACATACAAACTCCATGGGTGATTCTGGCATAGCCCACACATAAAGAGAACTGCTAAGGTTCAAGATCAAAATGAGGACACTTTAGTATACTGGGCAAATAATCTACTTAGGCCAAGACCCCATTCTCTGACCACTCCATGTCTATAAGATGGCCCCATTCTCTACTTAGAGCAGTGCTTCTCAACCATGGTTCTGGGTTAGAATCCTCTGGAAACTTAAAAGAATCCCAATGTTAAGGCAACATCTTAGACCAGTGAAACCTGAATTTCTGGTAGTGGGATGCAGACATCATCAGTATCTGTTCATGCTCCAGTGATATCAAAGTATAGCCAAGGTTGAGGACTACTCTGCTAAACAGACACAGATTCACTCTCGGAAATCTGGAATGGGGACCTAAATGCTATCTAGTCTTAGCCTAGAAGGGGAAGAGGGAAAGGGCCACAGATGCAACATGCATGGAGATGCAGGGAAAGCTAACAGACATAGCGAGAGAACAAAGATGCAGAAGTAAGACGTGTCATCTAAGAGGGGAAAAGTGCCAGAGAACGCCTTTCCATCCAGGCCCCTGTGAAACCTGAAGATCATTCCTCCCTTCAGATTTCCCAACTCCGTTGAATGAATTTCTCTCTTTCCATAAACTACCCTGAGTGGATTTCTGTTTCCTGTGAGCAAAGAACTTTAAATCAGGCAAATAAAATACAAGAATAGTTTCTTTTCGGACAAAGTCAAACTGAAAAAGATTTCATGTATTTCAGTGCAAAATTTAAAGAACTTCATAGTTTAAGAAAACTGGATAACCAAAGCAAAGATTAGCTCACCCGGCTAAGGTGCCAGCCATGTACAACTAAGGTGGCGGGTTC